CTGCTTCAACCCAGTGGGCTTAACCACCGTACTACCCGACCTCTAGATTGGCCCGTCGCCGGTGCCACTGTTGAGTTCTCCGTGGATTGGGGTGAAGGGGTAGGAATGAGGAAAAAGCCAGCAGCCACCAGAACAAATTTGGAAGAATAATGGTAAGACCGCGCCTCTGATTTTGTTTGGCCTTGAGCACAGCTAACAGCCAAGCAGGGCAGGCCTATTACCCCTCCATCTTCTCATGGAAATGGAAGACTTGTCAAGGTCAGTGGGTTCCTCAAGTTCATACTGTGAGGCTGTGTCAGAGGCTTGACCTCAACTCTCCAGATGCTGGAAGGGTATCTGGCACCCCCAAGAGGAATGCAGGGCCGCTGAGAGGAGGGGCGGTGGGTCAGGAGGGGCTGTAGGCCCAGCTGGCCGCCTTGAGTGACAAGCTGAGATGAACGTTAGAATCCTGAAGGAGGGGGTGGGTCCCAAGGGGAGTCAGTGGGGAGCTTCTCTGGTCGGTGGATCATTCACTGAAAAGCTGGCTCGGGATGGACTCTCAGACACAGCGGGGCACAGTGTAAGGAGCAGGGCTACAGTCAAATCCCGGTGCTTGCCACACAGTAGCAGCATGGCCTGGGGCAGGCCACCAAACCCCTCCAGAGCCTTCGGCGTCTCTAACTGCACATAGGGGTAACCTCTCCACTGCTGGCTGATGTGTGGGATCAGTATGGTGTGAGTAAAGCACCGGGCACACAGCTGGGGGCTCAGTAAACGGGCTGCTATTGTCAGTGTTGGACACAGCTGAGGTTTGGACACATTCTTTGATTTTTAAAATCAGGCTTTATTTTCTAGAGCAATTTAAGTTTCATAGCAAAATGGAGCAGAAAGGACAGAAATTTCCCATATGCCTTCTACCCCTCCCTCCCTAGCCTCCCACTTGTATTAAAGTGTAGCTTCATTGAAATTTTGTTTCCAAAATTCACAGGAAAAAGAAAAAAAACAAAAAGGAGACTTTTGAAACCTTCCTGCCTGAGTCCCTTGCTGTGTAGAAGGGGAAACTGAGGCCCAGAGAGGGAGATTACATACCCAAGGTCACAGAGCCGAGGAGGCCTGATCCCTGCTTTCTATCAGTCAGTGTGGGTTGCACAGCATCACCAAGCATCCTGGACTCAGCCTCATCCTGCTGTTTACCACGCATACATGGGGTTGCAAAACTACTGCCCCAGCTGGCATCCACCGAAATCCTTGCTGGAATCCAGCACATCAAAGTCAGAGGGCACTGGAAGTTGTCACATTCCCCCTCTCATTGCCTTGTCCTCGTGCAGGGGTTAAAGAGCCTAGACAGGTGGCTCTCAGACTGGAGAAATGAATGATCACAGACATACACAGAGGCCAAGATGGTTTCTCTTTACAAAATCCTGAAGTGGGGCTCCAGAGGGCAGGCTCAGTAGTTGTGGCGCACGGGCTTAGTTGCTCTGCAGCATGTGGGATCTTCCTGCACCAGGGCTTGAACCCGTGTCCCCTGCATTGGCAGGCGGATTCTTAACCACTGTGCCACCAGGGAAGTCTGAACCCACACTCTTTACTGTGCCACCCTGCCTTTGACATTCCTTAAAGCTTTGGAAGCTCGTGGCTCGCTCTGGAGCCTGCGAGCCGCAACTACTGAGCCCGTGTGCCACAACTACTGAAGCCCGCGTGCCTAGAGCCCATGCTCTGCAACAAGAGAAGCCACCGCAATGAGAAGCCGCAGTGAAGAGTAGCCCCCGCTCACCACAACTAGAGAGAGCCCGCGAGCGGCAATGAAGACCCAATGCAGCCAAAAATAAAGTATAAATTAATTAATTTTAAAAAAGAGTGTGGGTTCATGCTTGAGAACCCAGTTCCCGACGGCTCCCATGAACACGGGGTTGTTTTCTCATGTGTGTCTACTTGGACTACATTACAGATGACCTTTCAGTCATTCATCTACAAACTGGCAGGCCCTGTGGTGGGTCGGTGAACACCGTGGACAAGATGACTGCTCTCCTGGGATCCAGGTCTTCGGTGGAAGGGAGGCTGAGCTTAAAGAGTAAATAAACATACAACCAAGATAATTTCAGATACTGATAAGAGCTATGGATAAAAACCAAAACGAAACAGGATAGTGGCATCATGACTGGGAAGGCTGGCTACTTTAAAGTGGGGATCAGGGAAGGTGTCTCTTAGCAGGTGACATTATAGCTGAGCCTTGAACAAGGAGGAGCCAGCTATGCAAACATCTGGGGAGAGAAGGTTCTGTGAAGAGAAATCAGAAAGTGCAAAAGCCCTGAGGCTGGAGTCAGCCTAGCCTTCTAGGACTTTCATCAAAACAAATAATCTGGGACTTTGCTGGTGTCGCAGTGGTTAAGAATCCACCTGCCAATGCAGGGGACACGGGTTCAAGCCCTGGTCCAGGAAGATTCCACATGCCGCAGAGCAACTAAGCCTGTGTGCCACAACTGCTGAGCCTGTGCTCTAGAGCCGGCGAGCCACAACTACTGAAGCTCGCGTGCCTAGAGCCCGTGCTCCGCGAGAGAAGCCATCACAGTAAGAAACCCGCCCACCGCAGCCAGCGAAGAGTAGCCCCCACTCAACGCAATTAGAGAAAGCCCACACGCAGCAACAAAGACCCAACGCAGCCACAAATAAATAAATAAATGGCAAACAACAAATAATCTGAAGGCAAGGGGGCTGGATTTTTTGTTTGTTTGCTTTTGTTTTTCTTTTGGCCGCACCACAGAGATTGAACTTGGGCCCTCAGCAGTGAGAACACAGAGTCCAAACCATTGGACGGCCAGGGAATTCCCAGGGGGGCTGTTTTGTTAAGGAAACAAAGTAAACAAGATATTTTCATTCTCTAACCTGTAATCTTCCCCCACCACCTCAAAATCATACTAATACTAGTTAATTCCTACTCAGTTTAAATACTTCTTCCTCCAAGAAGACTTCTGGTCCCACTAGTTCGTGGTTTATAAAAACTGGTCTGTGGCAAAATGAGAAAAATGTCAGAAAACCCGTGTGTGTGTGTGTGTGTGTGTGTGTGTGTGTGTGTGTGTGTGTGTGTGTGACTAAAAGGTTGCCAACCGTGTTACCTTTCTCTGAGAATATCTGAGATATATTGTTACTACAATCATCCCTCCGTTCAGCAGGGATTGGTTTCAGGACCCTTTCAATACCAAAATTGGAGGATACTCAAGTCCCTTACATAAAATGGCACAGTATTTGCATATAACCTATGCACATTCCCCTCCTTCATACTTTAAATCATCTCTAGATTATTTATAACACCTAATGCAATGTAAATAGTTATAAATACAATGTAAATGTTATGTAAATAGTTGTGGCGAAGTCAGAATTTGCTTTTTGGAACTTCCCGGGATTTTTTTCTTAAGTATTTTTTTGTTTTGTTTTGTTTTGTTTGCGGTACGCGGGCCTCTCCCTGCTGCGGCCTCTCCTGTTGCGGAGCACAGGCTCCGGACGCGCAGGCTCAGCGGCCATGGCTCACGGGCGCAGCCGCTCCGCGGCATGTGGGATCTTCCCGGACCGGCGCACGAACCCGTGTCCCCTGCATCGGCAGGTGTACTCTCAACCACTGCACCACCAGGGAAGCCCTTCTCAAGTATTTTTGATCCATGGTTGTTTGAGTCCACGGATGCAGACCCATGGGTACAGAGGGCTGACTGTATTTTTATTTTTTACTGTTAATAAGTCCTTTTCGCTAAATGATGAGTGTAGATGACGACAAAGTTAACGCGGCAAAAATGAAAAGTTGACCACTCTTTGCAAATCCCCTATATTGGGGGGTAAATTTCGCTGGTTGGTCTGTGAATCCCAGGTCCGAGGGCACCTGGGAACTAGACTCCGAAGCTCCATTACTTGCCCCTTCTTTGCACCCAGGTCACTCTGGATTTCCCACACCCTTTCATCCTCTCCCTCTTTTCAGAGTTTGATCTCCAAGAGGGCAGGGTCGCCCCTGCCTGGCCTCCAGCAAGGCCCAGAACAGGTGCTCAGAAGACACGGATTGAATGCACTGTGATTCATGATGAGACACATTCAGCTGAGATGAACCTCACAGAATAAAATTGGGAGCAAACTGATGAAGGGAGAGAGCTGTGTAAAGGAGAAGATCCCAGACCTCACAGCCAGGAGCTTGGGTTCAAATCCTGCAAGAGGCAGTGTGGTTTGGGGAAGTCAGAAGACCTCACTTCTTCTGGAGCAGGAAAGCTTAGGTGAAATCATTTACTTTCTCTGAGCCTCGGGTTTCTCTCCTGTGAGATGGGAACGATAATGCCTTGACCCAGGATTCTTCTTAAGAACAAAACACAGGTGTACAGAAAAGCACTTTGTAGAAAGTGTGCAAATAGTTCGTGGTCCATCCCTCCAGCACCCACCCAGCCCGTAATATCCAGTTTGCCCCTTCCCAGCCTGTACGTCAGCTTCTCCGACGCCAGGGAGCTGGTGCGGGAACCTTGCTTCGCAAGTTCTGAAAGGAAAGCTCAGTGCCTGGCACTTAGTAGGTGCTCAACAAATAAATCAATGGAGAATGACCCCCAGGCAGGTCATGCTTCCTCTTAAGAAAATTGGCAATCTCCAAGGCTCCTTTCTCTCTGGCGCCTGTGATACTTATTTGCCTTTTTAAGGACATACCTACGAATCACATTTAGGAAAAGTGGGTGGGTGTGAAGAGACTTTGATTAAAAGGTTAGTGCACATTTTTGGTTCCCACTTCCGACTCTTCCAGAATTTATTTTTGCCTACTTAATAAAAAGAGCCATGTCACATTTCTTTAGCTTGTCTTCTGCGTTAAAAAAAAAATTTTTTTTTTTAAGCCTGTATTTTAAACCGCCCACTCCAGCCATCCCAGGACGCGGCGAGGAGGGGGCCGCAGACAGGTGGAGCGTGTGCCGGGAAGGCGGGGACCGAGGCAGCCCGGAGGCGGGGAGGGGCGGCGGCGGAGTTCAGGAGCCCCACTCGCCCCTCCGCAGGGGGCGTCTCCGCTCCTACGCCCCGCACACCGGGTGGGCTCCTGCCTCCTGTCCTCCAACCTCCCGGCGACTCCCAGCGCCCACCGGCAGCAGCAAGGCTCCGCCAGGTTCCAAGGCCCTCCGCTCGCCCGCCCGTGTCGGGAAGCCCAGCGCCGGCCGGAGGGGCGGGGCCGGGGCGGGGCGGTGGCGCTGATGTAATCCCGGCTCCTGGGCGGAAGGATATGGAGCGCGCCCGGTTGGCTGGGCGCTGAGGCCAGTTGCCGGGTAACGGAGCGGAGCGGCCGCGGTGCGCCGCCTCCCGCCCTCCGCCGAGTGGCGCCGGAGCCGCCGCCGCTTTACGTAAGGCGCAGGCCAGGGCTGCCCGGCGCTCGGCAGCCGCTCGGAGCCCTCGGAGCGAGGAGGCGCCCCCGCCAGCCGCCGCGACGCCCGGCCGCTCGGCAGGTACCGCGGGTGGGCTGGGCGGGCTGAGCGGGCCGCGACCCCTTGGGGCGGCTGGGGCGGGCCGCCACCGCGGCCGAGGGTCTCCGGGACCGGCCTGAGGGAGGCCGGGCCGCCCCGCCGGGCCGCGGGCTCCGCGAGGACCCCGGCCGGACCCCGGGCGTGCGGTGGGCTGCCGGCCCGGGGACCACGGCCCTGGGGAGCCGGGCGCCGGCGCACGGGGCGGACGATGAGTCCGCACAATGGGCGGGTGTCGCCGCGCTGGGAGCGGTTCTCTGGGGGGAGGCGCGGCGAGGTGGGGAGCGGACGTGCGGCCGGGGTGCGGCGCCCAGAGTGCAGCGGCCGCGGGACACCTGGAGCGGCCGGCCGGCCGGCCGGTGGGCGCTCGCGGCGCTGCCCTCGCCCAGCTGCGTCCCTCCGCCCCCTCCCCTCCTGCATTGTCCTTTAGGGGCCCGGGAAGGGAAGCCGCCGGCGGGGGAGGGGAGGGGCGGGGCGGCGCGGACGGACGGGCGCGCGGGCCTGTGGCGCTGCGCGCGCGGGGCGGGCCCTGCCGGTGGGGCGGGCCCTGAGGCGCAAGGTTCGGCGAAGGTTACGGCCGCCCGCGGGAGGGACTGGCACGCAAAGTCATCCGCGGCCGCGGCGCAGGAGGGCCTGAGCCGGCTCGGGCCGGCTCCAAGCACACGCGTCCCCGGCAGCCCCTCGGAGCTCTCCGCTCCTCCGCGCCAGAGGAACGGCTGGTCGCGAGGGAAATGCCTGCAGCCCCAGGACTTAGCGGGCGGTGCGCAGTTGAACGGGCCTGCCGAACTGTTGGTGGCGGACCCCCCCCCCCCCCCACAAATCCTGGCAGAAGCCGGTTTTGATTTCACTTTCGCCACCTTTCACTTTTTGACCTCCATAGACAGGCAATGGAGACCTCACCTAGTACAAAGTGTAGGAGATTAAGCGGGTAGGGGGACATGTGGTTCTTTGGAATGGTTTAACTAAATGTGGTTTCTGCTAATAAATATCTGGGTTGGATTCTTGTACATCTAGGTCGGCTACTTCGGCCAGGTTCCTAAGATTGAGCTTTACGTGTCTGGGTCTTTGCTTGTTTAAAAAAAACTGTGGTAGGAGATTGGTGAAGAGGTCGGGGCAAGCAGTTTTGATAATAGGTGATGCCGTGGATAAAACTAACTATACAATCAAATCCCTAATCCCTAAGGTAGGTTTCTCCTGTGCAATAAGACCGGGGCCCGAGCACCTTGACATTTCATAGATTTCGAATCCGACGTGGCGGGGTCGGGGGCGGGAATCTATCACTTTGCAGCCTGAAGGTCAAATACTCTCTCATAGGTTATTTTGGATTGATCCACTCATAAATGGTTCTCAGGATCTTTATGACATTTCTTGGTAGCAAAAATTATTTCTGAAATTGTGCCTTTGCATACCTATAGGTAAGCTTCTTGCAATGTTCTATATTCAGTTGCTGTACTTGATAAATAATGAATTTTTAATAATTAAAAAAAATTTACTGCTTCAGTTTGGGCACATATATTACGGTTTTTATATAAGCCTGTGTCATCAGTGAAATGCCAGTTTGGCCACTGAAACATTGAAGGAAGGAGAGAATATTACTCTTCAATATTTAACTTTGTAGAAAGTAGAATTAGAGGTACAAATGTTTTGTTTTTAAAGAAAAGTACCAGTCTTTACCATGGCATCGACATAAGGCAAATCTGTAACTATTTCAAAGGCAATTAGCTTATTTGTTACACAAGTTGCAAACATTTAAGAAAATTAAATGGATTTTTAGCGCTTCTTTAATGATACCATAGATCACTCCGTGCTTTATTTTATAGTAGCACTTTTCAAAAGCAGTAGGGTTGTTTTTATTTTGCATTGTGTGGAAAGTACTGAGCCTGGGTTGTTCTCCCTGTTTCAGCAGCATTTGACTTGGAGCAGTTCATGGCCTCCGGGCCAGTTTTCTCATCTCTAAAATGGGAAGAGTGTTGATAACTGTCCCGTGGCATGGTTGGAATGATCAAGAGAGGGGAGATGTGACATTGTTATGCCAACATTCAGTCCCTTTTAAAATACTAGGTAGTGCTAGTGTGTCCAAGCTTCAGATTCCTCTCTTGGCTTAAAGCTTTCTTGTGACCCTCCCCATCCCTTCCTGTCTGCACTTTGCCTGGCTGTCAGGTCACCTTTCCTAAATCTAGATTGCATCTTGTCAGCCTCTGGCTCAGAATGCTTCTAAGGACTGACCGCCTGTTGTTTGGAGGCCAGAACCAGACTCAGCAGCATCACATGCAAGGCCCTTCACAGTCTGGCCCTGGTCATCTCTGAACTTCACCTGTCTTCTCGGTTCCCCTTCCACACTGTCCCGCCAAATGAGACTACTCTTGGTTCTCTGAACAGGCCAGGCTGCTTCATCCCTTCTTCCCTTATAACTTTTTCTCTGACTGGAATGCCCTGTCTCACTTCCACCCACTCCACTTTTTAAAAGTCCACATCTGATTTTATGTCCTCTCTGGAGCCCTTTGGAAATCCTGTCAAAGTGAATTATTCATTTCTGCAGTCATAATCTTCTATTTTTACTTTCGTTATTGCCTATACCACGTGTTGTGTATGTAATACTCTGGCTGTGGTGACCCTGTCATTATTTTATCCCCAACACCTTGCTCAGGGGTTTAACCATGAAAATGTTCAGATGTTTGCTGAATAAAGTCAAAGTCTGTAATCCACCTTATTATTATAAACGATTTTAATAACAAACATCAGTACCAACCACAGCACTGGGAATGAGGTTTTATTATATTGAAGATGGTTAATACTTAGCATATTTCTTTTCAATTATTTTTAATCTCTCACAAAATACCAAGTGGTATTTTTATACAAAGTACAAACAACCACCTCTCCCACGTGTGTGGAAACTTTCAGGGCCCATGGACCAGCAATGCTGACTGAAGTCACTGCACCCTGTCTCTTGGGAGAGGGGATCAGAGCATACGTTTTAAAATGTTCCTTACTTTTAAAGTGTAATTGCAGTCTCAGCAGATTCACGCTTTTTGTCTGAAACGTTTCTGGAGGTTTATTATACTCATAAGAAGTAAACTGCTTTTGAGGGCGCTTATTTAGGCCTGGATTCGAGAGACTCAGGTCTGTGTGTTGGCTCATCTCCTCACCCCTGGGGCACCATGGGCAGGTCGGTTAAATCTCTCTGGAACTTCAGATTCTTTATTTTGTGAAATGCTTTGCGGTGTCACTTAGAGTGGCTATTCTTTGTGTACTGCGTGCCCTTGTTCAGATAAAGGTAATGAGATGCTATTACTTCACAGCACATTGGTCTTCCTTGTCACCCAGGCTGGAAACTTCTTGAGGCTTCCTTTTCTTGACCAGATTTTTACCAGGTCTGCCTCCATGTGTCTTTTCCATCAGCCTTCTTGGTTTTGCTTTTGTTTTTCTCCACAGTTCCCCTGTCGCTGCCCTCCCTGGCTCTTGTCAGTTCTTATGGGGGTTGTTCCTGTAGGCCTGCTGACTGGTCTCCCTGTATCTAGTCTGTCTAGTCCTCCTGTGTTCTGTTCCCAGAATTATTCAATATGTAAATCAAATCGTATCATGCCCTGCCCCCCCAGGTATATACCAGCGGTTCTTGACATCCCCCCGCCCCCGAGTTCCATCACGCCTGGGGTTATGACCTAGCGCTGTCCAGTAGGCTTACTCCTACAAAGATTTTCACCTTGGAGGCATCACCACCTGGCCGGTTGAGAATTAGTGTTAAGGGGTTAGGAGAGCACTCTAAGACCTGTGCCATCTGGCCTCATTCTCACTTTTGGCTTCATATTTTACTGCATCTCTCTTGTTACCTGGTATTTCAACACTAGACCTCTGGCCACTTTCATGGTTGTTGGTCTGACTTCTTTACTCTTGAATGTCCTTTCTGCCTTTTTCTTCTTATCAAAATCCTTAATACTGAATGAAGGCTTGGCTTAAATGCTTCTACTTCTATGAAAGAAGCTTCCCCTGATTTTCAGAATTAACTCTTCATTATTCTCCCACACAGTGCTTGACGATACTTCCACTCAGCTAGTTTTTCTTTTTGACTTTTTGGTTTATTCTTTACATGGATTACAGACTCGTTAAGGGGAGAGAGGAAGATCTTATCCATTGCTGATTCCCTCTAGTGTGTAAAGTAGTCTTTCACATAGTGCTTGTTGACTTAGACGCTTGATTGAGTTAACTCAGTCACTTTACATTCTCTGCATTTAGCAGAGGGGTAGCGGGGTTGGAATGGCTTTATGTGAGAGCTTCACGAATCCACACGGCATACTCAGAACAGGGCCCAGCACGTAGTAAGTGCCCAGTAAGTGGCAGCTTGTAGCTGTTAGTTGGAGCAGGTGTAGAGAATACTAGTGGTTGGGTATGTTGATTTTTTTTTTTTAAACATCTTTATGGAGTATAATTGCTTTACAATGGTGTGTTAGTTTCTGCTTTATAACAAAGTGAATCAGCTATACATATATCCTCATATCTCTTCCCTCTTGCATCTCCCTCCCACCCTCCCTATCCCACCCCTCTAGGTGGTCAGAAAGCACCGAGCTGATCTCCCTGTGCTGAGCTGATCTCCCTGTGCTATGCGGCTGCTTCCCACTAGCTAGCTATTTTACATTTGGTAGTGTATATATGTCCATGCCACTCTCTCACTTCGTCCCAGCTTACCCTTCCCCCTCCCCATGTCCTCAAGTCCATTCTCTACTTCTGCATCTTTATTCCTGTCCTGCCCCTAGGTTCTTCAGAACCATTTTTTTTTTTTTTTTAGATTCCATATATATGTGTTAGCACAGTATGTTGATTGATTGTATATGCTGGTTACTGTAACAGTGTTCACAGATTTATTTCTGGCTTCTGTGTAAAGGAAAAAAAAATCGTCTGGTCTCTCCATCTTCATTCTTTCGTTAGTTTTGGGAATTAGCAGAAAAGTGAGTATTTGGTTGGAGGGAGCTTTTGCATAAGCAGATTCATGATGGTGGTCCTAAATTATTCTGAAGACAGGAAACCTTTCTGTAAGTGAGCCAGGTTTTTTGCAGTGGCTTAAGAAAGTGGAAAATGGTTTGTCAGTTGTTATACTATATGTTATTTTTCTGTAAAACACATGCTTTCGTTTTAATCTTATAATTATATATTAAGCAGTAGAATCTTCTTATTTAGTATTTAGAATGACTGTTGAAATTTTGTTTTTGAAGTCATCTCCAAAGCTTTTTCTTGCCACTAGGCTTTCTCTGTAGTTCTCTATCTTTTCCTTTGTCTGCTCAGCAGTCTTGCCCTGTGACTGGACAGGGAGAACCTAGGGGAGGAAAACCAGCTATCATTTTGAAACTTTTAATTAAATATTTAGGTACTATTTTTAAGTTTATATGTGTTACTGATTGACAGGTTGTATCCAGAAACCTTAAAAAGTG